CAGACCATGCTAACTTTTTAGATGTGATCAAATGTTAAGAAACATGATGATACAAAACTGGAATGCTGGGGATACAACACATTCAGTTCAAGTCATGTTTCAGCTCATGCTAAATTTTTAAATGTGATAAAATGTTAGGAGTGTTATATTACGCTACAAGAATGTGCTCTCCTGTTCTCAGCTCCACATCAAGTTTGAACGCTGTTCGAGGGCGAACGCGTATGCAGGACGGCCGGATGTTGTCGCAGTGAAGAGGTTTTAAGTTCCTGAACGACTACCGCGCGTCCCTTCCCGCCAAGACGCATCTCAGCGCGCTTTCTGACACTATGGCCAACGGACAATATAAAAAGGAGTGTATAGTCTTCAGAGAACCTTTTGCTTGTCACCACCAACGAAGCAACTACGGAGACATTCATAGTTATAGACGTAATCTCATCTTTATTAATTTGTGTATTCTGCATTGCTATGAAATGATAATGTTCGGATTATAATGTATATCATGTAGAAATATTAGAAGTATTGCTTTCTTGTGATTATTGCATATACATATATTCATTTACAAGCTATTGGTTATTTGTTAAAGTATATTAAGATTAGTAGTGATTAAGGACAGGGTTTACTTATGAGGTAATTAAATATCGTGTTTAATATGTGTTTTATTATATATGTAATTTTACACTAAGATATCACTGCCATATATTAACTATGATGCATATTCACTATTACTATCCAAATTTACTTTTTTAAAACTAAATAAATAATTAAATTATAATTTTAAATACGGACAAAAACATGTGACAAGAGAGGCGACCAGAGTTGCCAGACTCTGTTCAATCGATCCAATTGAGGTATATATATCAAATAATCATAATCATAATCATTTATTTATTGCATGTCACATAGTATAAAGTTTTTCAATAATTAGTACAGTTCATGTGACACCCTGTAAGGGTGTAGCAAATTCAAATTTAATTTCAATTTCAAATAATTTAAATTAAAATACTAATAATAACCATATTAACAAAAAAAAACAGTTTTTTTTTACCGTTTCAGTCCTAAATTAATTAATGAAGTTTTACATTTCCCTAAAACATATATTTTTGTTCGTATGTAATGCCTATTTATCATTAAAAAATTCGTCAATATTATAATAGCATTTGTCAATGAGGTATGTTTTTAAATGTTCAGTAAATGGTTTTAGTTGTTTTAATTGCTTTATTTTGTTCGGTATGTTGTTATATATTTTGATTGTCATCCAATGGGGACTCGTCGTGACAATTTTTAATTTAGAAAATCCTAGCTTTATTTTGTTTTGGTCGCGGTCGTGCCTTTTATGCTTAGTGGTTTTAACGGGAGAATACAGGTTTTCATGTTTTCTTACAAATTTGCAAGCTTCAAGGATATACAAACAAGTCAATGTCAATATGGAATGTTTTTTAAAATGAGGTCTACAGGATTCCATTTTGTCAATGTTGGTTAATATTCTTATACATTTCTTTTGTTGGATAAAAACACTTTGAGCATCGGTAGAGTTTCCCCACAAGACAACACCATATGATAATCTAGAGTGGACATAAGCGTAATATGCAGTTAGAGCAGTTTTAAAATCTGTTTCTTTCTTTAAATGGAATAACGCATATGTGAAAGAAGATATTTTTTTTGTTAATTTCTGTATGTGAGACTTCCAATTTAAATTGCTATCAATATCGATACCCAATAAAGTTGCAGCGTCTACTGTTTCTAATTTATTATTTTTGTAAGTATAGTCAATTTTTAATGGTGTTTTTTGGTATGGTTTGATTTGTCTTTTTTAGGTTAATTTGGAGATTATGTTGCTTGAGCCAGTTTTCAATTTTTTCTATAGTATTATTGAGTATTCCATCTACCTCAACTTTGATGGAGCAAGGAAAGAGTACCGTTATACCATCCGCGAATAAAATACTCTGAGCTTCGATTATATTTGGAAGATCATTTATATACACTAAAAACAAAAAACAACCTAGTACGCTGCCTTGAGGGATAGAGCCCGTTAAGGAGATTACATTTGATTTTACATTTTCTATCTTTCCTGTAACATAATCTATGTTTTGTAGTTCAACTACTTGCAAACGGTTTCTCAGAAACGAATTGAACCATTTATGTGTTGTACCTCTTACGCCTGTTTCGTAAAGTCTAGAGAGCAGTATATCGTACTTAACACGATCATATGCTTTGCTCATATCAAGTAATAAGCCCACGGCGTATTTGTGTCGATCTAATATGTCTATAATATATTTTATGTACTTGTATACTGCCAACGTAGTTGAGCTGTTTTTACGAAAACCATGTTGATTTTCGTGAAATATATTATATTTTTCATAAAAAGAGTAAAGTCGTCGTACCATAGCAGTTTCGAATATTTTCGACGCAGTGGGTAGCAGCGCAATGGGACGGTAATTGTTTGGGTCAGTTTTTTCTCCCTTTTTGTGAACGGGTTTAATTATAGAAATCTTTAGTGCGTCAGGGAACACACCTTCTTCGAAGGATTGGTTAATAAGCTTACAAAACGGTATTGTTAATTCATTTGCACATTTCCTAATCAACATTGGAGGGAGCTCATCAGCACCAAAACTTCGTTTGTTTTTAAGGTTTTTTATAATTTTGTGAACTTCATGGAGATCAACTGGCTGCGAGAAAAATGTGTTTTTAATGTCATTTTTGCGCTCTAACGTATTTTTATTACTATCTGTACCTCCTATAGACTTGAAGAAAATATTAAATGCATTTGCAATTTCGATTGGATTTTCTATAATTAAATCATTAAATTTTATTTTTATATTTTGTCTAATATTCAAAGGTGTCTTATTTGTGACTTCACGTATTATTTGCCAAGAAGCTCGTATTTTATTTATTGATTTTTTAAATTTACGTATATTGCATAATTTTTTAGATAGTATTACGGCTTTTTTTAATGTTCGAGTACAGTCAATCGGGGTAACTTTGATTTACATGGTAACTTTGATAGTCAAATTACAAAGTTTATATTTATTTTTTACGTTGGCAATATTTAATGCATAACAATAAATTTTTTCAATTCCGACCGCTAACAAACTTCGTAAACGAACTCTTTAAAAAAAAGAAGCTGTCAAACACAATGTCAATGTCAAAAACTATTCCAAAATTACCGCGCGCAACTGTGTGTTTTTTTCAGTGGTTAACTTTTTAGATAATTCGGGAATTTTGTTGCTATCAAGGTAAGCAAAAAACTAAATTTAACCTTTAATATGTCTTATTTTAAATACACAAATCATTTTGTTATTTTCACATTGCATCTTTATTTAATTTACAAAAACAAACAGTAAGTCATATTTAGTAATAATTTCGGGTATCTTTGACAGAGTCAATGTTACCCTGTCTTTTTTGCGATCTACCATTTTTAATGTGGGTAACTTTGACATAGAAGTGTAACGTCTTATAATATGCTAATGACTTTATGTACTTATAATTTTTCAGCCAAAAACACGATGCCTAGAAAGAAGAAAGTTCCAGAGCCTGGCACCCGCAGATATGGATCAAAATCCAATTATACCTTAGCAGTTTTAGAAGAATGCTTAGAAAAGGTTAGATCTGGTACACTTAGTGCTTACGCCGCTGCCAAAGAATATAAAATACCAATTAATACAATAAAAAATAAAATAAAAAATAAACATGTACAAAAAGTGGGAAGGCCCACAGCTTTAAGTGAAGAAGAGGAAAACATTTTAAAAGAGCATGTCATGGCTTTGGCAGATTCAGGAATACCAATAGGCATTAATGATGTTACACTTATAATACAAAGATATTTGAATTCTGCAAACAGAAAAGTTAAGGTTTTTAAAAATAACTGTCCAGGCTGGGAATGGGGTAAACTCTTTTTAGATAGACACCATGATTTGAAGGCAACGTTGGGACATAATATTAGTCGAAATCGAGCTCAAGTTAATGAAGACAAAATCAATGAATTCTTCAATAACCTTGAGTCAGAAATTCAAGGTGTCCCACCTGAGAACATCTATAATTTCGATGAAACAGGGTTCCACGACGATCCTAAAAAGAAAAAAATGCTATTTAGGAGAAAATGTCGTAATCCAGAGGTAATCCGGAACTCCACGAAATCCTGTTATACAGCTGTCTTCTGTGGAAATGCTGCAGGAGAAATGCTTCCCCCTTACTTCATTTTTAAAGCCAAAAATGCTTGGTCTGACTGGCTAGTAGGAGCTCCGCCTGGCTCTCGAATGACTGTGACTAAAAGTGGCTGGATTGATCTTGAGAGTTTTGACGACTGGTTTAAGTATCATTTTCTTGCATTCGCTATAAAAAAAGAAGGGAAAAAAATACTAATATGCGACAATCTGAGCTCCCACATCTCGGTTAACACATTGAGGATATGCCACGAGAATAACATAAAGTTTGTTTGCCTAGTACCAAACTCGACCCACCTTCTTCAACCCCTTGATGTAGGCTATTTCAGCTCTCTTAAAGCTAACTGGAGAAACGTCCTTCTTGATTGGAGAGAGACCACACGAGGCAGAAAAACTGTTGCTTTGCCAAAGAACTGTTTTACGGCACTTGTCAAAAAAACTCTTAATTTAGGAGCTCCACAGTCTAAAGCTAACCTAGAGGCTGGCTTTAGAGTAACTGGTATTTACCCTTTAAACCGCCAAGAGGTATTGCAGCGTCTTCCAGAATATGCCAAAGCAAAAGTCGATGTACAAACTGCCAAGGAATCTTTAGGTGAAAGTTTCAAGAGCTATCTGGCGGAATTGCGGGAAAATGATTTAGGAACCAAAAGCCAAAGAAAATTTCAAATGCCAGTTATTGCTGGGAAAAGCGTGTCAGTGGAGGAAGTTGAGCAGTTCTATAAGAAAAAAGCTGAAAAAGCCAAAAACAAGGATCCAAAGCAGCCTACCGACCCAAAGAGTTCAGTAGATCCTAAGAAATCAGTAAAAAGGGGTCGTCCTCAAGGCTCAAAAAATAAGAAGATGAAAAGTCAAGACAAAAATAACGAGAAAATTTTAGACCAGAAAGAAAATGTGGAAGAAAACATAAAGAATTCAGGATCCAAAACAAATGAAAAACAGGAAAAAAAAGACTGTGATGGAAGAAAGATATGTAGCAAGAATCCGGATAATGTAAACGACTGTGATGAAATAGAAAATTTATTCAAGCAACCATCAACCTTAAAACAAACATTCATTTTGACAGGAATGGAACCAAATGTAGGCGAATCTTTAGAATTCGAAAATATGGCAATGGATCTAGAAATAGGAAATGAAGTTGTAATAGAAGAGTATATTATTAACGAGACTGAAGAAACAACATGTATATCAGAATGCGCTGAAAAGGTGAAACCCATATCAGTGAGCAACACTTCTAATTTAGCTACAATCCCGCCTGGGACTACTGTTGTATTTAGGGATGAAGGAAGTCTGTTCCCAGGGAAAATCGTATCGTTCCTGTCCCCATATTATGTAATTGCGGCTATGAGCAGGTCAATAGGTGGTGGGTGGAGGTGGCCAGCCACGAAACAGATGACCAAAATTAAGTTTGACGACATTGTATCAACTGTAGATCCAGCCAAAATCAAAATCAAATCTGTCGGAGTTTATCATTTGGAAGATGACTTGCTCTTTATGGAGTGGGGCGAATAGACATTTAATCAGCCTAAATATGTTTAGTTTTTAAGTGATACAGTTGATTTTGATAAATATACAAGCTCTTTCTAAAGTTAAGAGCATGTTTCAAAATTTCATTAATGTTGAGTTTATTTGTGAGTTAACTAAGCGAATAAATAAAGATAGAACTACAATTTTATGATTTTATTGACTTGTCTATGACTCCAATGCATCTAACATTTGTTAAAAAATGAAACTAATGTTACCCTAAAGCAATAAAATGTATAAAAGTTGTGATTTCTATGACAAATTTCATCTGTGTCAAAGTTACCCATATGGGGGTGCTAACTTTGACACACAACGAAATTGCCAGTTTTTGATAAATTTTATGACTATTATATGCGATAAATAATTTGAAAGCATGAAAATCAACCTGAGGGCACAGATTATGTAAACTCTTCTGTCTCTTTTTTAACTTAAGTAGAAGTTAGCTAAAAAAATATGATGATGATCTGTCAAAGTTACCCCGATTGACTGTATAAGTTTTATAATAATTTCGTATAATTTCGTTTTTTGTCTGTGATAAAAGTAGTCTTAGCAATCGTTTGTTATGGCATGATTTTTCAAACCTAATGTCAAGTATGTTTTTTTCCTATTGGTTTTAATATGGATTTTTTGTTTTGGTATGCATTTATTGAGAATTTTTTGGAGAGTATCATTAAAATAGTTATAGTTTTCATTTAAATTTTGATCATTGGTAATTATTTTTTCCCAATTAATATCCTGTAAATGTTTTATAAAAGAATTGATATTCGAATTTGTAAATAACCTTCTCTCAAGATAACACCGTTTTAACTTTTGTACAATTTTTGGTATGGAATACATTACACCCCTGTGGTCATTGAAACCAAATTCATATGTTTTTACAGTCGTATTTTTACCAGCAATATCAAAATTCGTAAAAATTAAATCAATACATGTTGCACTGTTTGGGGTTATTCTAGTAGCCTCATTAACTTTCTGATGGAAATTAAAAGATAGCATTAGATACGAGAGAGTTTCCCTCAGCCTACTGTCCACCAGGAAGTTCACATTAAAATCTCCGCCTATGATAATATCCTTACATTTGTCTTTTAATGATACTAATTTTAATACAGCCTCTAAACTTTAACAAAATGTTTCTATCCTTCTTGCACTGTCAGGCCAGTACAAGTCTATCACCAACAAATCCATCTTTGGTAATTCCACCGCTGCCATCTCAAAAACAAACTCTACCGCGATTGATTCTATATCTTTTCTAGGTCTATACTCAATTTCATTCTTAATTAAAATACGTACACCTCCTCCCTCATAAGTTTGACGGCAGAAAGATGAAACTATATTATATCCACTTACATTTAATAAACCCTGTTGTTCGGGGTGTAACCATGTCTCACACAAGCAAATGGCATGTATTTCTCGGTTGTCTTGTAATACGTCATCAAGTATATGTGTCTTATTTTTTAGACTACGGACATTCTGAAACAATACATTAAATTTGTGATCGAAAGGATGCGTCTTTTCCTGTCGTTGCTGGTGATATATTTCTCTCGTTTTAGTGTACATAACGTTTCCGAGCTTTTTCCTAATAATTCCTTCAATCCAGTAATATTGTTTAGTGTTCATGTTTTTAGTTACCCAAACATTGTCTTTTTCTTTGAATTCTGGTCTTTTGGTACCCTTATAATATTTAGCCTGTGAACACTGATTACGTTCGACGGTTAAAGCCAAGTCTGTGGACGAAGGAAACGGTATGTTTGGATTTATAAGATCTAAACAAGAACGTAATGCGCGTCCGAATATTATTTCCGCGGGTGATTTGTCAGTTGTGCTATTTTTAGAGTTCCTATAATCAAAAAGAAATTTTGCTATTTTCTCTCCCAATATTTTTTTATTTGACTTATCCATGAGGATACTCTTCAAACCCTTTTTTACAATTTTTACAAATATTTCACATTGCCCGTTACTCGCAGCGTGATAGACAGGAGATAAAATATGCCGAATCCCATTGAGCATACAAAAATCTTTAAATTCTTGAGAAGAAGTACCATTGTCACTTACCAATATGTAAGGAATACCGAATCGCGACATCCATTCATATAACTTTTTAATTACTGCCTTTGAACCGTGAGCCGAGGACATATCATAACATTCAACCCACTTACTATAAGCATCGACAACAATTAAAAACATAGAATTATTAAATGGTCCTAAAAAGTCGATGTGAATCCTATAGAATGGATGAGGCGGTAGCGGCCAGGGCGCGAGCAGGGCGTGTGGAGGCGCGGGGCGCAGTTGTGCGCACACGCCGCACTCGGCCGCTCGCCGCTCGATCGCCGCGTCTATGCCAGGAAACCAAAATCGCTTACGAGCTTCGGCTTTCATTTTTACCACACCAAAATGAGAACTATGTAATTCGTTACAGAGTGTTTCTCGTAGGGACTCGGGAATTACTACCTTATGCCCACGCATTACGCAACCGTTTTCGTAAGCTAGTTGTGTTTTACAATTATGATAAGGTTTCAATTTGATATCTTTTACTTTTCTCGGCCAACCGTTTAATATATAATGTCTAATCTGACTCAAAATTTTGTCACGAATAGTTTCGGTTTGTAATGTTTTCTTAGTCACTGGTAAGTCTCCGTCTAACACAAAGTTGACATAAGCCGCGCGCTCGTCACTATCTGATAACTCCTCCGGTGAGCCGCGCTCGCTGATTGCGGGTGGGGGCACGCTCGCGATAAATAATCGGCGCTGTTAAGTTTACTGATTATGTACTCTATTGTATAATTGTAGGCTGCTAGGAACATCGCGTACCGCTGTAGTCGATTAGCGGAAACCTCCGGTATACCCTTATGTGGACCGAAAATGGACAACAAAGGCTTATGATCGGTCCGTAATACGAAAGGTATCGACCGTCCATATAGGTATTGATGGTAGTGTCTAATAATGAAAATTATAGCTGTAGCTTCTTTCTGAATTTGTGCATAATTCTTTTCCGCCGAAGTGAGTGTTCGAGATGCGTATGATATCGGCCTCTCTAACCCGTCATCACACACTTGCGACAAGATAGCCCCTAAACCGGTAGGCGAAGCATCCACTGTTAAAATTAACTTTGTTTTTGGGTTGAAATGTGCCAAAATATTATCTGATGCCAATATATTCTTAATGCGACTGAACGCAGCATTGTGTATAGCGGTCCATTCCCATTTTGAATTTTTATTTAATAAATTAAACAAAGGAGTCAGTATCGATGATGCGTCTGGTACAAAGTTTCGGTAATAATTAGTCAATCCTAAAAATGATTGTAATTGTGACACATTTTCCGGTTTAGGGGTTTTTAGGATAGCTTTTACCTTTTCCGGCGATTTTTCAACCCCGTTTTTGTCTTTGACATGACCGAGGTAAATAATTTCGTTTTTAAAAAAATCGCATTTACTTTTTGAACCGTTAAGCGTCTTCTAAACGTTGTAGAACCGCGATCAATCTTTCTTTATGTTGCTCTTTCGATCCGCTTATCAAAATATCGTCTAATAGGAATATTATTCCATCTATCCCCACGAGAAGACACTCCATCGTCAGTTGAAAAATAGCTGGTGCGGGTGAAAGACCGAAAACTAAACGGGTAAAATTAAAAAGACCACGGTGTGTGTTTATACATGTTAATTTCTGTGACGCCTCGCTTAATATACATTGGTTATAGACCATAGATAAATCTATTTTACTGAACTGTACTCCCCCGTGAAGCTTAGCCAATAGATCATTTACCGTGGGTAAGGGGTACTGATCTACTAGTAATTGTTAGTTTATCGTGACCGAGTAGTCCGCACATAAGCGAATGCTACCGTCCTTTTTTAAAACTGGTACTATCGGAGAAGCGTATTCAGAGTATTCGACAGCCTTTAAAACTCCTAACGCTAATAAGCGATCGAGCTCCCTATCGATTTTTTCTTTCAAAGCGTAGGGTACCGGTCTGGCTTTAAAAAAAAATCGGTTTCGCGTCTGGTTTTAAATGTAAATCAACAGTGTATTTATTAAATGACCCTAACTCCCCAGAGAAAACTTTTGGAAATTTAACCATTAATTGTGATATAAAATTGTCCCCCCCGTTGACCTTGACTTTTTGAAATGACGGCATGTATGCTGGCAACGGTCGGCGATGGCGCCACTGGGGCTAACTCCAAGTTGAATGTTCGAATGAAATCACGGCCCAGCAATGACGGGCCGCCATCACGTACCACGTACACGTCTAAAGTATGAGTGTTGTTGTTATACGATATAGAGAGTTCCTAATGTTTTAATTTTTTCCCCTGTATAACTTAACAATTTTTTATTGGTCAGTGACAATGGTTTACCTTTAAAATAGTTTTTATACGAATTTTCAGAAATCACGCTTACTGCTGATCCGCTGTCGATTTCGAACTCTAAAACTAGCCCCCCCAATCACAACACTCTCTGTCGTAGGTCTCCCTTTGACGCATCGAATATTGTAAAAACACTCACCATCGTCCCCCTCGTCCACCTACTTCACCCTACCCTCAAAAGCACACATTCTACGGAGATGACCCTTTTTATTGCACTTTTTGCATTTATAATTTTTATAACGACACTGATTGAACTTATGATTGGCATAACCGCACACACTGCACTTTTCTTGTTTGGAGATGCTGAACACGGCGTCCGAGTTGAATGTACCGATGCCGGTCACGCCGCCACCCCTTCGCCAGCGACGAAGCCAGGCGCGCATTACGCACACTCTCTGCTAGCTCGATGGCTTTCGCCAGTGTCAGCTCCCGCTGATCCTGTGCGAATAGTTTATCGCGCTCATGCCCTGCCGTCGTGCCCATGATAAATCTATCTAAAAGGGCCTCTTCCAAATTCTTAAACCCACAATGTGCTGCCAATCCTCTAATCCTCGCTGCCCATTGAGTGTGACTTTCTCCTAGCCGTTGACTTGCTGAATAAAAAATAGATTTCTCAACAATAAACCCGAATCTCTTCGGAATAAAGTGGTCATCGAGTAGCTTCACTATAGTCTCGTAATCCAATTCTTCCTCATTTTTCGGTGAGGCCAGGTCACTTGCTAGCCTGAAAGTCGATTCACTTAACGCACTCAATAATATTGCTCTTCGTTTTACCGACGCTTTATCAGCTTCTTTTGTTATGTCATTTGCTATGAACTACTGATTTAGGCGTGATTTGTAGCTACTCCACTCGTTTGATAAGTGGTCAAAAGTAGGAAGTAAGCCAAATGACATTTCCGTCGACATAATCTTATTTTTCAAAGTTCGTTCATCGCCTCGTCGCCACGTGTTGTATATCGAGGGAGCAGGTGATACGTCAGACAAACAAGCTAGTTAGTTGCACACTGATTTATTACAAAATAAGGAAGGACGTGGCCCGTTCTGACTACCCACATACATACATAACAGCAGGCATAGTGTCACTAAACATAAACCAGTTAATGTAAATTCGATAAATGAAACAAAGGTTAAGAATAACATCGAAAAGTTTTTTAACAGACGAATTAAATCACAAAGGAATAAATTTCAAATAGGTGATTTTGTTAGAATAAGCAAATACAAAAGCAGTTTTGAAAAGGGTTATACACCGAATTGGTCAACAGAATTTTTTATTATTAAATCGATCAATAAAACTGATCCTGTTACATATAATTTACAAGACCAAAGGAGTCAACCAATATTAGGAACGTTTTACCAGGAAGAGTAACAAAAAACTAATCATCCTGATATTTATTTAATAGAAAAAGTAATTAAAAAGAACGGTAATAAATTGTTCGTTAAATGGTATTTATTGTAATCATTGCATATCCAGATATGCAAGGAGAAGGACTAGTCAACAGTATAATTGACAGTTTACCATTTGAACTACATTTACCAGGATATAACTCTTGTGGACCAGGGACCAAGTTAAAAGAAAGATTAGCGAGAGGTGATAAAGGAGTCAATGAATTAGACAAAGCCTGCAAAAAATTTCATGATATAACGTACATAAACACCGATTTAAACAGTAGACATAAAGTAGACTTGGAACTACTCAGCATGGCAAATAGACAATTGCATCCAAAAGACACTGGAAGAGGTGAAAAACTAGCTTCATGGTTAGTTAGGAAAGTTATGAAAGGTAAAGTAAAAAGTGATTCTGGAGTTAAAAAAATTAAGACAATTGTATCGAAAATTCAATCTCAAATAAAAAAAATCAAACCAAAGAGCCATAAAGCTGCAATTAAGTATGCATATGAAGCTAATAAAAAATGCTTTCCCAAAAATTGTCATTTTCGTCTACCGCGAATAATACCGATTCCAAAGACAGGAGGAATATTACCTCTGATACCCATTTTTGCGGGATTGTCTGCTCTAGGTACATTAGCTGGAGGTGCGGCACGTGTTGCGAAAACGGTAAATGAATACAAAGCTGCACAACAAAATTTAAAAGAATCAGAACGTCACAATAAAACCATGGAAGCTATTGCATTGGGAAAAGGTCTTTACATCAAACCGTATGAAAAGGCAGTGGTTTATGAATGAGAAGTTCAAAAAACTAATTTCGCAGTTACCCAATAAAGCTTTATCTAATATTAAGTTAATGAAACATTCTAGAAATATACCCCATTTTCGAGGAGTTTATCTGAAATATAGATTACCAACTCAGTCAAAACCAATAGAATGTGGAATCGTTAATTTAGATAATCATAATAACAATGGAACGCATTGGGTAGCTTATGCAATAATAAACAGTTATTTATTATTGCATAAGGTACAAAAATATAATAGCGTCAATTGTGGACATTTATGTTTAAAATTTTTGCACAACAGTAAAACTAGATAGCTCTTCATAAAATATTTAATTAATTTAATAAAATAAAATACTTACAGTTTTATGAATAAAATTAGACCCTGACACTATAATTCACCCGCTCAAGCGTTATCTCCATTTTCTGTGGCTGTAGAAAATTTGAATTAAGAATGGAACAAGTTCAGCACACTATGACACATCTGACGAAAATGTTTCAAGATAGGATGGCCAATTCTGAAGCACAGTTGCAGAAGACTCCAAATGCACCCACTACCAGCACAGCGGACCTGGTTTCTGAGTTTACCTCATTCAAGTCATTCATACTGGGGACGTTGAACACCCTTCAGTCGCAGATTCATGTCCTTGCAAAGACAGTTGATAGGCTCGAGATGCATGGCCGCAGAAAGATGCTTTTGTTACATGGTGTTCAGGAGCAGGCTAATGAAGACCTTTCACAATGATGGTAGGGTTTATTGTGGATAAATTAAAAATCAGCGAGTTCACACTGAAGGACATCAAGCGGTGTCACAGAATGGGCCAATCAAAAAACACCAGCGATAAGCCTCGACCTATCATCATTAAGTTCGAGCAGGCAGCCATCCGTGACCAGGTCTGGTTTAGTAAAGCTAAGCTTAAGGGTTCTGGTACAACTATCTCGGAGTTCTTGACTCAATCTCGCCGAAGTACTTTTATTGCGGCTCGTGAGATATTTGGAGTAAACCGGTGCTGGACACAGGAAGGTATTATCCACATATTCAGTCCTGATAATACTAGGCACCGCTTAACCACTATCGCAGAGCTTCAATCGTTACAACTCGAGACCGCAAAGCTTGTGGCAACTTCAAAGGCAGTGCCAAAAGCTAGGAGGGCTGCGGGCGTCAAGAAATAGTTTTTAATTGCTGACTTCGTTCGTAGTGGCTGAAGCAAATATTCATCATGTAAGCAAATTGATATTATCATCCCAGCATCGCAGTTGTTTCTTGTTTACCTACAAATGAATTTTATTTTACTCATAATTCACTTTGTTTCACAAATTAAGGTAAATTAATATTATTAATATACGATAGAAATTTAGATATTACAAACAACTACATATTTGTCACTGTCACTCAATGTCATTGGCAAGTTATCATCTAAGGTTGTCATAATTTGTTGAATCGATATCATACAGCCATATGCAAATTTGTTCTTAATGTTATCTTAACTTTTTTTTTCTGTTGTACTGTTAATATGGTACATTAATATTTGTTTTTATTATTATTGTCTTTTCTGGTAAGCATGAGCGGGTGGTTATGGTGTCTTAAAGAGTTTTATTGTATTAGTGATATTTGAATTATATTGTGTATTGTTATTTATTTAAATATTATCTATTTATAATTATAAATAATGTCACTTTTAATGAATGATAGTGATTCCAGCAGTTTTCTATCTGCTGATAGTAGCGATAACGATAGTTTTATAAGCATTCATTCACTGGCTGATTCTCTTAATTCCTGTTTCTCTGATGTTCCTAGAAACTTCAATGTGGTTCATATAAATGCCCAGAGTATTCCGGCCCATTTTTCAGATATGCTGACAACCTTTGACTGTAAGAACATCCATGCCATTCTTGTCTCTGAATCATGGCTCAAACCATGTCTTCCTTCCCTTTCATATTCATTACCCGATTTTAACCTCATTAGGAATGATCGTTGCGTTGGTGGTGGTGGTGGTGTCGCCATATATCTCCGTAAATACATTCCTTGATTCATATGTCATCTCAACCACCTCCAGCTAATGCTGGCGAGCATCTCTTCCTTGAGATTGAACTGAGACATGCAAAAATTCTTCTGGGGGTGTACTATAGCCCATCATCTCATATTAACTTCTTTTCTTCATTTGAAAATAAGCTTGAGCTTCTGTGCCCTTCTTACAGTCATACTATAATAATGGGTGATTTCAATACATGTCTTCTCAAGAATGACATGCGTTCTGCAAATTTTCGAACTGTTCTGCAATCAAGTAATTAACATATACCAGCACTCAATGCTACCTATCATTTTCCAAATTGTTCTCCTTCTCTCTTAGATCTCCTTATTGTCTCTTCTCTTCATCATGTTGCTAAACATGGACAATTCCCAGCTGATGCCTTCTCATATCATGATCTGATTTTCCTATCATATAAAACGCGTCCACCGAAAGCTAAGCCCTCAATTCTGTGCATGCAGCAATTTTAGTGGTGTCAATCTTGATAAGCTCCGTGACGATGCAGCTAATATGGATTGGTCGTAGCTTCTCAATTGTGACTCTGTAGATGGCAAACTTCAATTTCTTGTGTCGAATCTCACTGCGCTTTATGATGTACACGCGCCAATTCATCCAGTCAAGATGAAGCACCGACCGTCACCTTGGATTACGCAAGATATTAAACAGATATCAGAACGTAAAGCAGCCGCCAAAACGAGATATAAATGTCGTCCCACTCCTACTAATTGGGAAAAATATATCTATATCCGCAATCAATGCAATAAGATGTGTAGGAATGCACAGCGCCAATTTATTCACAACTCGATTGAAAAAGCTGATCCAGCAAAAATCTGGAAATTCCTTAGATCTATGGGCATTGGTAATCTTCTAATACTAATTTCGACATGAACCTGCTAAACAAACAGTTCTGTTCCTCTTATACTTTTGACTCGACAAAAAAGTTGGATACTTTGAGTTTTCTTTCTTCTATTCCAAGCCCTAAATATCCATCATTTTCTCTTCGTCAATTTTCCGACTGTGATGTTAAGGGGAGCATTATGTCAATATCATCAGGGGCCGTAGATAGTGACTGTATTAGCCGAAAAATGATACTCCTTATCTTAGATGAAGTTCTTCCACTCCTTACACACATCTTTAATTACTCTATAAGGACTGGGGTCTTTCCATCTGCGTGGAAAGATGCTCAAGTCATCCCATTACCCAAAAAATCCAAACCATCATCCACTTCCGACTATAGACCCATAGCAATCCTACCCTTTTTATCTAAAGTATTAGAGCGCCTTGTCCATAACCAATTATCGACTTTCCTTCTCAAGAATCGCCTCCTTAATCCATACCAGTCAGGGTTCCGTGCTGGGCACAGTACAACAACGGCATTGGTCAAAGTCACAGACGACATAAGGTCAGGAATGGAAAATGGAAAGGTTACGATCCTATCCTTGCTTGACTTCAGCAATGCATTCAACACTGTAGATTATGATATTCTGCTTGGCATACTGCGCTCTATTAACATAACTCCAGCGGTAATTGACTGGTTTCATAGTTACCTGTTTGGTCGCCGACAGCGAATTCGCATTGACAATTCTTTTTCAGCTTGGAGCGATATATCTGCTGGGGTGCCACAGGGTGGCGTTTTATCTCCATTACTTTTCGCTATTTTTATCAATTCTATTTCCAGTCAACTTATTTCGTCCTACCACCTTTATGCAGATGATTTGCAAATTTACTCCCAAGCACGACTAATCGATCTTCATCAAGTAATTACTAATGTGAATGATGATCTGAATCGAATTTCAAATTGGAGTAAATCATATGGTTTAATAATAAATCCATCCAAGACTCAAATCATTATTGTTGGCAACTCTACAATGATTAATAAAATCGACTGGTCTCAACTACCTTTGATTACATTTGACGGTATCACATTAACTCCTAGTAACTGTGTCAGGAATTTGGGTGTGCTAATTGACAAAAATTTCACTTGGGGTCCTCAAATCCAGGAAGTGAGCCGTAAGATATTTGCTGCGGCTGGGTCCATAAGAAGACTGCGCAATTTCCTCCCTCTCGCCACTAAAACTGCGCTGGCCCAAGCTCTCCTTCTCCCCATTTTAGATTACGCAGACGTTGGCTATCTTGACCTTACTGAAGAGCAACTTAACAAACTTGAGCGGTTACAAAACTTCTGTATCAGATTCATATTTGGCTTACGAAAATATGATCATGTATCCGATTTCCGTGTAAAACTAAAGTGGCTTCCGATTCGTCTTCGCCGGAATGCACATATTGTTTCCCTTCTTTACAGTGTTTTGTTTAATCCACTTTCGCCATCTTATCTTAAGGAACGTTTTAATTTCCTTCATAATACCCACACTCGAGTTTTGAGATCATCGGAGAACTTAAAATTGGAGACCCCAATGCATTTCACAAAATTTCTTGACAAATCTTTTATAGTTCAAGCTGCCCATCTCTGGAATGCATTTCCCGAAAATATAAGACGTGCGCAAACGGTAGATAGTTTCAAAAATCTAGTAAAGGAGCACTATCTGTCATTATAAAATTTTACATTATATCCAGTTATAGTATGTATGATATTTATAGTTATAGTATGTATGATAATTATGTACTCGTATGTTTATATCATGTACATTTATGACACCATAGACTACCTAATTTAGATTTAAATAATTTTTTTTTTCCAAACGGTAACGGTTGCCTGGAAGAAATTGCTTCTTAGCGATAAGGCCGCCGATTGTACTATTTGTTTTATATTATTGTTACCTATAATTGGTGTTTTTGTACAATAAAGAATTATTCTATTCTATTCTATATATTGACAGACTTGATTTTTATATATACATTTTTACGATGTCTTTCACATTGTCTATAACTGGCAAAAGTTCCATATTAACCACGAACTACTCACCAACTTTGAATCTGAATGGTGATTATGAATGTGCATTATTGCATTTCCCTACTTTTAATTCTATACCAAATATCACTAAAATTAATAACAAATTTCACTATGGTACTAATGAAGTGGTTGAGATGAAGGAGCTTATGAACTACAAGATATTTACGATTTTTTAAAGTTTAAAGTAAAAGATTGTGATTTAAAGTTATATTGCAATAACAATACACTTAAGACAACTATATTCTGTACTAAAGATATTCATTTTGAAAAACATGGTTCCTTCGGAGAATTGTTGGGTTATAGTAAGGAAGTCCTAAAAAGTCATATATTACATGACTCACTTCTTCCCGTAAACATTTTATCAACGACTGTGGTGAGAGTCAAATGTGATATCGTAAGCGGGTCATATATAAACGGTGAACCAAGTCATATACTACATGAGTTTGCATCCACGGTACCTCCGGTAGAATACTATATAATATATATTTTCCAGTGAACAGAGATACTATCAATAGTATCACCATAAGAATACTAGATATATATATAATAATTCTGTTGGCTTTCGAGGAGAAGAAGTGAATTTATACTTTCATATAAAGAAACATGATTGATTACAATAAAAACGTATCATCTCATGGTCACAAGTTTAGTGGTATTCGATCACTTCGCAAGAACACACAGTCTTCTGCTAATATTAAACTAACTCCACAAAATAAAGCATTTTTGAAATTGATTGGATTGTTAAAATGAATATTCTAAATATTACAAATCCGCCTGCATATGACAATTCTATAGAGTGCATAGAAACTCATTCTTATAAACCATACATAACAAGTTTCAATAGAAATGATGAAATAAGAATACCGATAAATCAACAAGACTTATATGTGCTTCCAAGTGCAAGCACCTTGTATATTGAAGGAGTGGTAAATGTGATCAAATTTGGAGAAAAGGGTACAAAAGAAAGAGTGCCTTCTTTACATTTTACTAATAATGCGTTGATGTACTTGTTTCAAGACATACGTTATGACTTAAACGGCGTTGAAATAGATAAAGTGAAAAATGCTGGTATAACAACTACTATGAAATCTTTACTCTCCATGAATGAAACTGAATCGAAGATATCTGAAGTCTGGGGTTGGAATATACAGGGTTTAAAAAATACTATCGGTGATCACTTCGGTGGTCACTTCTCTGTATCAATACCACTAAGTAACATACTAGGTTTTGCTGAAGATTATAAAAAGGTTATAGCAAATTGTAAACATGAGCTTGTTCTATTACGAAGCAATACAAATCTCAATGCTTTAAAACTTAATAACGATGAAGTAATAGAAAGTATTGATATACATAAAATAATTTGGCGTGTTCCTCATGTCAAAGTATCTGACAGAGAAAAAATCAATTTACTCAAAATTCTGGAAAAAGATAAACCAATTCAATTGACGTTTCGGAACTGGGATCTTTACGAATACCCAATGCTACCAAAGACCACTAAACATACATGGTCAATTAAAACTTCTACTCAGATTGAAAAACCTAGGTATGTTATTCTCGGCTTGCAAACTAATAGAAAAAATAATGGATCAAAAGATATGTCCCAATTTGATCATTGTAATCTACGTGATGTTAAGGTTTATTTAAATTCTATTTATTACCCTTATGAAAGCTATAACACCGACTTTGCAAAGCACAACTATGCCTTAATATATGAACAATTCGCAAATTTTCAGCAGTCTTATTATTCGCGTAAATCGAGTTGTTTATTAAGTGCTCAAGAATTTAAAGAATATGCACCATTATTTGTAATCGATTGTTAAAGGCAGAACGATAATATAAAAACAGGACCCGTTATTAACATTCGCTTAGAATTAGAGAGCCATAAGGAGATACCGGACCAGACATCAGCATATTGTTTGATTTTAAACGATTGCATAGTCGAATATAAACCTCTTAGTAATATAGTTCGTAAAATATCATGACTTCTACTGTTTTTGTCGATATTCAAGGATTTAAAGATTATCAAAATATGTTCATTTTAAAAGAATTAGCATTGTCGACGAAGGATATTTCTCAGGTTTTCTTAGTAAAACCACCCTACTCGTATTCAAAGTTAACCGTGGATGAAAAAAAGAAAGTGAGATGGATTGAACGAAATAGAGGTATCATGTGGAGTGAAGAAAATATTGACTACAGAGAATTCAAAAGACTTATCATTCCAATTTTACAAAACAAAACTATAATCATGAAAGGATTAGAGAAACAGAAATGGATAAAGGAATTGTGTGAAAACTGTTTTTTGGTAAATATTGAAGAAAAAGGTAGTCCTAATTTTTTTGATCTGTATAAAACATATTGTAAGTGTGAATCTAATGTTAATTGTTTAGACCATAAAAAAGAATGTGCCTTAAAAAATGTTATCTGTATTAAGAAGTGATATTTAAATAATTGTATGTAATAATGTTTAATAAAATGAAATATATAAGAAAAAGTGTATTATTTTAAATTAAAACCTTACTATTATTTTGCATATCTGTACCATTCTCGACTCAATGGTGACTAGGAAATTTCGTAAGCATCCGTTGATGCCACTACGACAACTTTAATCTTAAAAATTATGAAAATGTCAAATTGATTAAATAAAACAAATCAAATATACTTTAGGGTTTATATTTCAAAATAATATAAAACTAACTACTACTAAATCTAATAATTCACTTAAAAATTATTGTCACATATTTTCTTACTTATATTTCTAATTAATTGTTCCGTTTGTTCCATAATTGGATCATAATGATCAGCCACTACATACTGACTGCTGTACAGTATTTTTTCGTTGTCACTTTCACTTTTCACTATACTACTGTTTTCCAAGTCAACAATCTCCACTTTGATGAGTCGAAAACCTCGTTTAGGTTCATTAGTGTAAATATAGGATCCCACATTATGTACAGTGGCGGTCTCACGTGCCTATCCACTTCAAAATCTCGTTCGCTTGGCACACATTTGATGCAATTTTAGGAGGCGGAGTTACGGGCGCATCTTCATTGGTCGTAGTATTTTACTATGACCAATCAGCATGGCTCTACGTATGCAACAAATACAATGAATGCAATAACAGTGTTGTTATTTTTTTTAGTTTAGTCGCTTTTTGCATATTGCTAATTGTTGACGTGCTCACTCTGGATTTTCTTTTAACCTCCGCATTCTCATTGGACTGATACCTGTTAATACCTGACCACCGTGCTAGAAACTGGTCTTTTGATTTGCTTAGCGTGACCTTGGCTTGAATTTGGACCATGTCTTCGAGGAACCTCTCTATACAAGAGAGGAGTCGTATCGTCGCATTACATGAAGATGGATTGACGGTAAGTGTAACATACTCACTGCTTATTATTATATACAAACTGTCATTGCAAATTAAATATTTAAATTATTATTGTTTTCAATTTATAATTGTACTAGTTTTCCACCAGCGGCTTAGCCCGCGTGGTCTCCAGGAACCCTTATTTTCGTGATAAAAAGTAGCCTACATTCTCAAAGTTAACTCTGTACCAAATTTCATGAAAATAAGTTCGGTGGTTTAGCCCTGAAAGCATAACAAACAGACAGAGTTACTTTTGCATTAATAATTTTAGTAGGGATTATAACATTATATCGGATCAAATGAAATTTTCACTTTCCTTAGAAATTAATGGAATTACGTTTTTCCTCTACATCTCTCTCATAAAGAGTAGGTAAGTAGTTTGAAGAGTTCCTCGATGATTAAATATTTATATTAGCTTACGATTATTATACCAATATATGTTATATGTTATAACTACCTCTAATATCATTCTCTACACTACTCATTTCTTATTTTTATTTCGTTTTGTTTTTAAGTAATTCCTTAGTGTCATGTGATCAAAGATTCCTATTTCACAAAAAAGAATCAATAATAAAATTGTAAAAACATACAAAGTTCACTCAAAATTCAAGATGTTGCCAAACCGCTTAGTTTCTAGAACGCTGGCGCCGCGCCGTGCCGTGTGAAAAAAAAATTCAAACATAAAAACTCTTGTGGTTGCCGACAAAGACGAGGCGAAAATCAAAGACGCGCTTCTTGTAAGCTATCTCTTTTACTGTCATACAAACAATATTAGTTCATGGATATCAGTCGTAAGGTCGAATTTCGTTATTACTGTTCTGACACTGGCTATAGAAACTTGGCAACATCGTAAAAATAAAAGTAACATTTATTCTTAAAAAATGTATGAATTTGTTGAACTGGAACGATAGTTCTTTCAAACAAAATAATATGTTAACTCAGTTAACAGATTTTAAACCATTTTTGATGAAAAAAGATCAAATGCAATTTACTACGTTCATTAATTGAATTTTTTAGGTAAGCAGAAACTTGAATTACTACTCGTTAATTTAATGATTTTTTGAATATTTTCAATATTTGGTTTGAATATTAAGAATTCATTATAATATTTTTATTTTTGTTTTTTACTGTGAAATTAATTGATCTTTATAATCTAATTGATAAATTGATCTTTAAATATTTTAATATATTAGGCCCTGCATTTGCGTTATTTTCAGATGCGCCTGCTAAATAAGCAATGAAATAAATTTATTAAAATAACGAATTAAAGTTAATGTGAAAATATATAAATAGTGTGATTTTTTTATTTTTGTTTTTTTTTTATTAGGTTCTAATAGCAGAAGAGGCATCTAATAGAATAGTAAAGTAAATTAGTAGTAACAAGTTTTACTTATTGACTGATACATAATTAATTGGATAACATTGTTTTAGCGACAGCAAAAAAAATTTACTAATATAATGTGAAAATAATTAAAACTACTTTTGCCGGATAAAATGCGGTTATATGTGCAATATTCATTTCATTTATTTTATACTCTAATTTACTTATTTTTCGTTAACTCAGTTATGATTGTCTGTGAATTTTTTATAAGTATATAACGTCTACATAAATACACGCCCTTAAATACGTTCAAAAGTAAAATATTATAGATTCAAGTTTTATTTTAATAAATAATTTTGTTACAGCGACCTACTGTGCGCCTCTGGGTCAATCGTTTTGAAGAAGAAGGACACGTGGACGCCCGATCAAGACAACCCGAACATTCCTATTTAATATCGGCGGAGCAGTCTCAGCGAATGGTTAATATTTACGCGACTGCGCCTTTTACTCCAACGCGAACATTCGCTGAAGAGTTTATACTATACGGAGAACCCTCCATAGAGCAGGAGTTCATCACAGAAGACCCGCAAAAAAAAATAATGAACGAACAAAACAAAATTTATAGAGTCCGATTTGCACGAGAGTACCGAGACATTAATGTTATAAATTTAATAACATCTAAATACTGGAACAATAACGAAAGAAAATTATCACTAATTAATTACTAATTGTGTTAAACAAATGTTTCTTTGTATGTGTTTTCAAATTGTTTGTATCATGAAATTGAAATTTATATTATTAGGAAAACAGCCAAAATCAAAATCCATAAAGATACATAAATAAGTTAATATTGAGGGGAAATATCATTACTTTTATTGTAATTATTGTATGACAACTGTTGGTGACATTTTTTGGAATCTGTTCATATTTATTTAGAAAGATTTTTCTCTTGTTTATTTAGTTTAATTGAAACTGTGTTTTAGATCAATCCTCAATATTTCTTAGAATTGACACAGTTTAAAGTTCTTAAAAATTTCCCTTTATATTTTTTGTGCAAGTATCGTAGTTATAGTAGTAGCAGCACGCACGTGGGCTCGTTAATTTTTATTGGGTTTACGGGAAGAACAAATGAAAAAATTGTGGTAGCAAAAATATGAGATAAGAAACTAAGAGCATATAGATAACAACAATGCAAGTCAGATAAAGACAAAACAGTGGTTTTTTGTTACAGATTTGTTTAACTTTCTATTGCACAAACTATACTTAATTTAATTTTAAGTCCTCCAAACGGCATTTTCAAATCTGTAAACAACTAAGAGAACAAAAATAAACTTTCTATATTATTCTATAGCGGTATATATTAAATTTTTTATCATGCAACTACAAAAAGCACTAAAAATATATTAAAAAATCAAATTAAATTTATATATTTTAAGTTTATTATACTATGTCGGGTATTTTATAACTATTTTGCTAAGATATTAATTTGTTTATTAAATGAGAGTAAATGCATAATTTTTAACATTAAATTGTTTTATTTGAACACCTGCTGACTAGAAAAATAATTAACATTGATATACTTATTTAGAATCACCATGAAAGAGAGAAATGATTTGTATTTTATGAAAGTTGGTCTTGTTATCATATTTTTAACCAACTTCAAAAAAGAAGGAGGTTCTCAAATTAACTGTACTTTTTTTTCTTGTTTATTACCTCATAACTTTTGACTGGTGGACCGATTTTAATGATAATTATTTGATAGCTAGTGCTTGCCGTGTGGTCCAGATCTGGCAATGGCATCTATGAGAAAACCGTATAAGTCTTAAATTTGCATTAAGTATGCGTGATGTGAATGTATGAAATAAAAACTTTAAAAAAATGGAACCGACTTCAAGCGGGCTGAGGTTTTCTGTAGTTAATTAAATATTAACCGCACGACTTTAATGTTTCCTTAAAAATTAACCGTTTTTAAGGTAAATGTTATTTTTCACTTTTTAAATTTGATGTCGGTTTAAATTTTTTTTAGTTTTTACTTTCTTTTTTGTCATAAGATACTTGCTCAATTAAAGTTGTTATATTTAAAAAATATATACTTACCAATTATAACAAATCAATCAAATGAAATTAATAACTTTCGGTTTTAAATATTAGATCATTATTTATTACACTAATATTATAAATGTGAAAGTTTGTTTGTTTGTCCGTCGATCCACCACGCGTGCGATGCCGCTAGCGAAAAGCTAGTCTTAAATAAAATATACTTCTATCTATTTCTATTGTATCACAAGTAAATTGGCTCATGTTTTATAAAATTGACTTGGAAACTTAACAAATTGTTTCTTACACATATACTTTTACTCTTAATTTCGAGAATTTGATCATGAAATAAATCTATTTAATTTATTATACGCATATACCTAATCATTAACCTAACAATTAGTAATTAATTAGTGATAATTTTCTTTCGTTATCGTTCCAGTATTTAGATGTTATCATATTTATAACATTAATGTCTCGGTACTCTCGTGCAAATCGGACTCTATCAATTTTGTTCTCCGTGTAGTACAAACTCTTCAGCGAATATTCGCGTTGGAGTAAAAGGCGCAGTCGCGTAAACATCAACCATTCGCTGAGACTGCTCCGCCGATATTAAATAGGAATGTTCGGGTTGTCTTGATCGGGCGTCCACGTGTCCTTCTTCTTCAAAACGATTGACCCAGAGGCGCACAGTAGGTCGCTGTAACAAAATTATTTATTAAAATAAAACTTCAATCTATAATATTTTACTTTTGAACGTATTTAAGGGCGTGTATTTATGTAGACGTTATATACTTATAAAAAATTCACAGACAGTCATAACTGAGTTAACGAAAAATGAGTAAATTAGAGTATAAAATAAATGAAATGAATATTGCACATATAACCGCATTTTATCCGGCAAAAGTAGTTTTATTTATTTTCACATTATATTAGTTAATCTTTTTTGCTGTCGCTGAAACAATGTTATCCAATTAATTATGTATCAGTCAATAAGTAAAGCTTGTTACTACTACTTTACTTTACTATTCTATTAGATGCCTCTTCTGCTATTAGAACCTAATAAAAAAAAACAAAAATAAAAAAATCACACTATTTATATATTTTCACATTAACTTTAATTCGTTATTTTAATAAATTTATTTCATTGCTTATTTAGCAGGCGCATCTGAAAATAACGCAAATGCAGGGCCTAATATATTAAAATATTTAAAGATCAATTTATCAATTAGATTATAAAGATCAATTAATTTCACAGTAAAAAACAAAAATAAAAATATTATAATGAATTCTTAATATTCAAACCAAATATTGAAAATATTCGAAAAAATCATTAAATTAACGAGTAGTAATTCAAGTTTCTGCTTACCTAAAAAAATAAATTAATGAACGTAGTAAATTGCATTTGATCTTTTTTCATCAAAAATGGTTTAAAATCAACTGAGTTAACATATTATTTTGTTTGAAAGAACTATCGTTCCAGTTCAACAAACTAATACATTTTTTAAGAATAAATGTTACTTTTATTTTTACAATGTTGCCAAGTTTCTATAGCCAGTGTCAGAACAGTAATAACGAAATTCGACCTTACGACTGATATCCATGAACTAATATTGTTTGTATGACAATAAAAGAGATAGCTAACAAGGAGCGCGTCTTTGATTTTCGCCTCGTCTTTGTCGGCAACCACAACAGTTTTTATGTTTGAATTTTTTTTCACACGGCACGGCGCCAGCGTCTTGAAACGAAACGGTTTGGCAACATCTTGAATTTTGAGTGAACTTTGTATGTTTTTACAATTTTATTATTGATTCTTTTTGTGAAACAGGAATCTTTGATCACATGACACTAAGGAATTACTTAAAAACAAAACGAAATAAAAATAAGAAATGAGTAGTGTAGAGAATGATATTAGAGGTAGTTATAACAGTATTGGTATAATAATCGTAAGCTAACATAAATATTTAATCATCGAGGAACTCTTCAAACCACTTACCTACTCTTTATGAGAGAGATGTAGAGGAAAAACGTAATTCCATTAATTTCTAAGAAAAGTGAAAATTCCATTTGATCCGATATAATGTTATAATCCCTACTAAAATTATTAATGCAAAAGTAACTCTGTCTGTTTGTTATGCTTTCAGATCTAAACAACCGAACTTATTTTCATGAAATTTGGTACAGAGTTAACTTTGAGAAAGTAGGCTACTTTTTATCACGAAAATAAGGGTTCCTGGAGACCACGCGGGCTAAGCCGCTGGTGAAAAACTAGTACAATTATAAATTGTAAACAATAATAATTTAAATATTTAATTTGCAATGACAGTTTGTATATAATAATAAGCAGTGAGTATGTTACACTTACCGTCAATCCCAGCTCTCTGGATATTTCGCTTATATTCATTCCATCTTCACGTAATGCGACGATACGACTCCTCTCTTGTATAGAGAGGTTCCTCGAAGACATGGTCCAAATTCAAGCCAAGGTCACGTTAAGCAAATCAAAAGACCAGTTTCTAGCACGGTGGTCAGGTATTAACAGGTATCAGTTCAATGGGAATGCGGAGGTTAAAAGAAAATCCAGAGTGAGCACGTCAACAATTAGCAATATGCAAAAAGCGACTAAACTAAAAAAAATAACAACACTGTTATTGCATTCATTGTATTTGTTGCATACGTAGAGCTATGCTGATTGGTCATAGTAAAATACTACGACCAATGAAGATGCGCCCGTAACTCCGCCTCCTAAAATTGCATCAAGTGTGTGCCAAGCGAACGAGATTTTGAAGTGGATAGGTACGTGAGACCGCCACTGTACGTAATGAATTACATAATTATACTTATTGTATAAATTAGGTATCAGTTTCTTATTTTTACCGCCCGGTGGAATGAATTTTTCAGGACAGAATGGTTGTTCAGGATAAAGCAAGTCCACTTCAAGAATATATCCGTTTTCTGCGTTATCATCTATGGATAAAACGTTTAACTCCTCTATTTCATTATTATTTAAAAATCTAAAGTTAGAGTAAGGTAGTGATAGACTCATACTGTAACCATATAAATTATTACAGTCTAAATAAACTATAAAAGTGTCTTCTTCAGAGGGATCATAGTCAGGCATGTATTTATTATTTGCCTTACCATAACGGTGGGAACACATACACACTCCCCCTCTTATTCCTTTTTGTATCATACGGATCATTGATAAATCATCGAGGAGCTGAAGTTGAACACCTGTTTTCAATAGCATTGCATCAAATGATAGACTGGGCGCAGTAACATAAAAGGCAGGATCGAGTTCGTAATGACATTTACATGTTCTGCGAAACTTTTCAAATATATCCGTTAGTAAAAGTACGACTGTTTTTAGGTATAAATCAGTATAAGCGCCTAATTGACCAAACAGCTTCAGCGTGTTTGTAGTCTTCAGCGTGTGTATCTTCAGAAAAAAGCATGATTTAGAAGGTAACGACTTTTCTGAGTATCGATCCAAATTATTCATATAATCGTAAGGGTACAGTCCTTTTCTAGTTAACAAATCAAATTGCTTAATGTTTGGGAAATGAGAACGTAAACAGTGAAAATCATCTTTTTTCATAGTTTTGGCTGGTTTATCTAAACTCGTACCCAAAAACTTAAAGGAATCTGTGAAACGTAATTGTATAAATTCACCATTAGAAATTGATAAAAA